GAGTAGGAGTTGATGAAGATGAAGGGGAGGCGAATGGAAAGGTTGACTACTCATCGAACACTACATGGCGAGAGATGATGATCTTTTGGGTGGAATGATCAAGGCAAAGATAGCCATGATGGCGTGATGGGTACCCTAGAAACACGCACGGCACGGAGCGAGGCGCAAGTTTGTGCGGAGCGACGGCTGTGGTGTTGGGGTAACATAGACATCCGAAAACCCTAAGACCAGCATATGCAGGATCTACGCCAAGTAAGGCACGAAAGGGAATACGATCCGAGATGGCCTTTGAAGGCAGCGGATTATGCAACATAACGGCGGTGTGAAGAGCTTCAACCCAAAAACGAGGTGGCATACTGGCTTGGATAAGTAGTGTACGAGTAATGTCATTAAGAGTACGAATAATGCGTTCGGCTTTACCATTCTATTGCGAAGTGTATGGACATGAAAAGCGGAGTGCAATTCCATGGTGCTGGGCAAATGAACGGAGGAGTGAATTATCGAACTCACGACCATTATCACACTGAATAGCCTGCAAGCGTGCACTAAACTGGGTGAGCGCTAAAGCATGAAGGGACGACAAGTGCGAGAAAGCTTCGGACTTAGTCCGTAGAGTGTACACCCATGCATACTGAGTAAAATCATCGAGACAGACAAGATAATACTTAAAGCCAGAAATACTCTCAACAGGAGAGGTCCACAAATCACAATGAATTATTTGAAACAGAGTAGTGGTTACACGATTGGTGGAAGAAAAAGGAAGACGAACATGACGACCTAACTGACAAGCATGACACAAGCTACTTTTATTCTTTTCCCTAGGAATAACCGAAGAACGAGCTAATGACTCCATGACGGGCCGCCCAGGATGCCCAAGCCGACGGTGCCAGAGTGCTGCATCGACGACGAGGAAGGCGTGTGGCTGGTTGGTAGAGGAAGGGCGGATGGAGTAGAGAGCTCCGAAGCTATTGCATCTGAGAATCTCGGTCCTGGATAGAAGATCCTTCACAGAAAAACCAAGAGGGTCAAATTCGACGGATACACGATTATCAATGGTGAACTGACGAACAGACAAAAGATTTTTTAACTATGTTAGGAACTACTAAGACATTACGAAGGTAAAGAGGGCGAGAGGTAGTAGAAATAGGAAGACATGCATGCCCGGTACCGGTGATTGGAAGAGTGGAACCGTTACCAACAATGACAGCACGACGAGAGGAGGAGGGGGGGACACGGAGGTGAGCATACCGGGATCGGACGCAAAGTGGGAGGAGGCGCCGGTGTCCATCACCCACTCCCTGGAGGGTGCTTGCAGCCCCATCGTTTGGAACTGATGCATGAGCGCGGCCTGGTCCCATGAAGCTGAAGATGAGGCCGGTGATGATGGAGTAGTGCCGGGCAGGCCGTAGGAGAGCTGTCCAGGGGCGTAGCCGTAACCGTAGGGAGCAACGCCGTATGGGTTCTGGGCGTAGAACGCATGCGGCGACGGGGTGTGCCGGGGGGCGTAGCCGGAAGCAGCGCCATAGCCGGGCGGCGCGCGACTGAGCAGCCCCCCTTGGCCATAGGGCCACATCTGGATGGCGCCGTTCCAGGGATGTTGCAGTGAGGGCCAGGAAGGAGTGGCAGACTGCGGGGTCGCGGGCGCCGGGGTCTCCTTGGTGACTCCAGCTGCGGCCTCCTTCTTCTTCTTTCCTTTTCTAGGAGCCTTGCCAGGGTTGCCGGTGTTGCCAGGGTTGCCGGTGTTGGTGAAGAGGGCCGTGTCTGAGTTGCGGGCGCGGCGGTTTTTGCGCTTCATGTCTTGGAGCGCAAGCAACGAGCGGCACTGCGCAAAGGTCATCCCGCGCATGAGGGAGATGAGATCGGCGGCGGACTCGTATTGCTCGGAGAGGCTGTTGAGGCAGTGGACCACCATCTCGGCATCGTCAACGGGGGCGCCAAGATCTGCAAGCCCGTCGGAGAGGGATTTGACCTTCTGGAGATAGTCGGCCATACTCATCTCTCCCATCTTGACATCGCCGAGCTCGACCGTGAGGTGGAGTTGGCGATTGATCTTGTGGTCGTCGAAGAGACCATTGATGCTGTTCCAGAGATCGACGGCGAGGGGATCGTCGTCGGGCGTCATGACGGCGTCGAGGATACTGAGCGAGACAGACCCATAGAGCCAAGAGACGACGGTGGCGTCGAGGAGAGACCACTCCGGGTTCGGCGCATCGGGAGCATCGAAGTCGAGGTGATCCAGGAGGGCGTACTTGCGACAAGCGGCGCGGAAGAAGGTGCGCCACTGCCGGTGAACGCCGGTGTCAAGCGCGAGCTCGACGGGAACGTGGCCTTTGATGGAGTGGAGACCGGCGGCTTGGGCGTGCAGCGAGGTCAAGGAGAAGGACCGCACGCTCGTCCTGGATCCATCGGCAGCGGTCGCGAGAGGCAGCTTTGCCTTGGCGGCTTCGGCAGCCTCGGCGTCCTGGCGCTCCTTGGCGGCGGCCAGCGCCTGGTTCGTCGCGTCAGCGTCGGGTTGCGACATGGAGGCGGCGGTGTGGGCGCGACGGCGAGAGAGGTGGTGGTTTCGGCGGCAGCGGAAGGAGGAGGAGGGCGGCACAGGCTAGGGTTAGGTTTTTAGGCTCTATACCATGTAAGATTTGGGAAACCACACGTTGTGGTGCCTTGTATTGATCTATATATATAGGTTACAAGGCAGAGTTCGTATCATACAATATACGGACACCTATACAAGGACTATACATATACAACCGTATAATTATACAAAACAATACGGTTATATATATTCTAACAGTTACTGGGCATCCCACCCGCAACTCATCAACATGGTTGTATGTAGTTATTTGCCGGTAGTCACTCTTCACTGAGAAATGTCCATTCTTTCAGGGAACCATGCACAAAAATACTGCCGGTTGCACAGAGAGGTACATATCTTGACAATCTCCTGAATATCGCTCGGAAAAAAGATCATCATATAACCTTTGCGGGTTCCAAGCACCGTGTTCATCAAAAAAGTCCAACACCCAATTAAACAGACATTCATGCTTGGGAGATATAGGACGAAAATCCGG